TTACTGGTCTGTCTATAATGCATTTTTATTTTACTTTTAGCACTAAGAAGTACGTGTTGATTCAACTAATATCCTGCATTTTGATATTTTACTTTCTTCTCGTCACCTTTCCGTGGAGGTGCAGAGGCCTGATGGTTAGTGTGCTAGACTCTGGATTGAGTGGTCCAGGTTCAAGCCCTGGCTGAAGACATTGTGTTGTGTTCTTGGGTAAAACCCTTTACCCTCATAGTGCCTCTCGTCACCCAGGAGAATAAATGGGTACTGGCAATTTTAATGCTGGGGGTAACCCTGCGATGGACTGCCATTCCATTCAGGGGGGAGAAGAAATACTCCTAGTTGGTTCATGATACGGAAACCGGATTTAAGTGCCTGCCCAATGGTCCACCTGGCTCTTAAGCAGGCTTTGCCTTCCTTACCTCATCACCTTTCTGCTTGATACGATCATGGTACGGAGAAGAGGAATTCCTTCTTTTTCACTCAAGGGTTTATAGGACTTGGGCATTGTTCGGGTGCAGTTCAACTAATACATTTTACATCTATGTTTGAAGAAAATGTCACCATACGAGTATGAATCAGGTCTTCTTAATTTTAAAGCTCTGTATTTTTCACAACAATTTGATGATGGTTGTATTAATTTCTGGTAACCTTCAAGGATCGCTGAATGGGTTTCTAAACAAGCTGAAAGGGAGCGCGAGAAAGAACAGAAGAAACAGGAGAGGTTGGCAAGAAGACGATCAATGCCAAAACACATGTTTGATGATAAGACATACACACAGAACATTCAACAAAATTCAGAGAGAATAGAGGATGCTCTACAGCAAGGTGAAGTAGTTGAAAATGCTGTTACAAGATGAACATATACACCAAAAGCCAAACTTCTATTTTATTTTTTAATTTCCAGTCATGTCCAATCTCCCATTTCCATCTATTTCCACATTCCCTATAGAGCTCCCCTTCCACTTTCCTCTCATTTTCAGCCAAAAAATTTCTTTTCTTTTCTCTCATTTCTTTCAATAATTTTTCTTGGATTCAGGGCTTAAAGCAGCAGGTAGTTCAACATCATCAGGTGCGTCAAGCACTTCAGAGAAGCCAGCTGGAAAAAGAGTTCACCCAGAGGATCCTAAAATTTCAAGAGGAGGCAAAAAAAGTCGAATGTGGTAACTATTCCCGCTTTTTACTCTCTGAGGTTTAAATTTTGTCCTTTCCATTGAATCCAAATGATTACAGGTAAGAGGTTTCAGAAAAAGGGGTGCCTGTATTTTTGTCTTTTGGATCTCTTCCTCAAGTACCTCAATTTTTGGTGAACTGTTAATGCAGTTGACATGAAATCCACTTGAAACCACTGTTTGTATTGGGGCTTTGTTACCCTGGAATTGCAAAAAGTGTTTCCAAAAGCATTTTTTTTTTCTTGTTTATAACACAAACATGCTACATTATGTTTGGCTTCCATTGTTTGGATAAAAGAGTTTCTTTTGGTTAGAGACGAAAATTGCCTTTTGAAACTACTTTTTGATAGTTTGTCGCAAGGTATACCAGACAATGAGTACATATTTTGCTTGGAAAAGATGGGTTAACTGAACTGGTGGAGGACACTAAGTGTTTGCCAGGCAAAAAAAAAATCATTTCAGTAAGCATAATTAGATAAATTTGTCTCGAGGTTGGGAATGGAAGACCTGTCAGACAGTGACAATGATGAAGAAGAGATGGCTCCCACCGGAAGAAACAGCAATGGAGATTCAAGCAGCCACACAAACACTTCAACTGGCACATCATGTAGCAGCACTCAAGTAGAGGTTTCAGCCCCTGAAGAGGCTTCTGACAACAATCAATGTGACACAGACAGTTATATAGCAAAGCCAGCTGCACAACCATCAGAAACGAATGCTGAATCACAGAAAGAAGACACCAAGACAGAGCATATTGGAGCAGCTGTCACTGATACAAAAGATCAGAGAGAAGACTTTCAAGAAAAAGATGGATTGAAAGAAACAGTTAGCAAAGGAGAAGCTGACAATCAAGCTTCTGAGGAACAGACCATTAAAAAGGTTGGAATTTAAAATTTTAAGTAAAGGCTATCCAATTGTCTGTACTTACATGTAACCTCCAAATTTTCACACCACAGTGTTTGGTAGACAGTTTGTTTTACAGAAAATTAGTTAAAAAAAACCTCAGAGTGGCATCTACTTTAAACAGCCTGTCCACTCTATATGGGGTCAACTTACATGAAATAATTCTTTTATAAAATTTAAGTTATTAATTTGATATCACCATCTTATTCTAAGTTCCTCTGCTTAATGGTTCATAGTTGTATTACCCTGACATTTACTGGTAAGCCTATTTATTGTATTCAACCCACTAGTGAAGTGTCTTAGTGCTATGGGGGCAGAAGAAGCAATTCCTATCTTCTGATTGGTTACTGGAGCCCATCTCACCACTTGAAGATTTCCCACTTTTAACACCCTCCCCTCTCCCCTCAGATAATAATTGCCAATATAGTAAGTAACTAAAGCCAGTTTCATATTTTGTTCTTTCTAGATTGAGTTTTGCCTTGATAGCTGCACATCGGCAGAGGAGCTTGAGTCCTTAGGATTGGAACATTTAAAGGAAGAGCTTATTTCTAGGGGGCTCAAATGTGGAGGGACATTACAGCAGAGGGCTCAAAGGCTGTTTGCTTCAAAAGGGGTCCCTCTAGATCAACTGGATCCTTCTTTTTTTGCCAAGTCAACAGGTAGCAAAAAATCTTATGGAAAGAAGTAACTTTGAAAAGAGAACTGCACCTGGAATTTTGTTCACATAATTATACAAGTATATAAGTTTGTCAAATTCTTTGCATGGTATTTTGATTATTTTGCAGTTGCAAGGCAACTGTATTGAAGGTTGAACTGCCATGAAGAAGTCACTTTACGTTTTACAGTAGAACTGAACCCATAAATTGAAATTTGCACAATAATTAAGAATCTACAATTTTTTTTTCATTACAACACCATTTTATTTTGGAAATATTTTGAGTTCAAGATCACTTTCATAAGCTCATTCAACTATTAATTATTAATAAATACGTTGAGTGTAAGATTTTTGATGTTTTTGTATTTTATGTCTGTTGTGAAGACAAAGCTACAACAATATATCAACTGGAAAACTTGAAGGGTTGATGTGCAACCAATTTTTGTCTTGCTTAAAAAGGACTTTTACAGGCTTCTTTTTGTTGCTTATCACATCAAGAAGAATGCAGTCTGGCTGTGTGTTTACAGAATAGGCCAGTTTCCGCTTTTGTTTGGGTTTTGTCATTTTCACACCACTTGTACAATCCTTTTTAAGAAAATAGAAAGAATACAAAATTCAATCAAAAGGCCTATCAGCACCTATCCCTATCCCAAACTGAACTACAAGAGAGAGACTTGTGTTTTTCTTTTCTTTTGTTTACGACCACAAACTGATGGGCTACTCACTTCACTTGCTATCAGGGAATAGATAGCTAGTAGAGCCAGGGTCGTGGCTCAGAAATTACACTGCTAGCGGAAATTTCAAGTGAGGTGGTTCAAAGGTGGTGAGTAAACTCAGAAGTGCCCAATCGCGCTTTACCAAGCAATTGCTGGCCAAAAATCCAGCCAGTGATTGTCTCTTTTTCACTCAACAAATTTCGCCAGCAGCCAGCTGGAAGAGCCCAGCTAATCAGATTGCTGCATTTGTGAGAGGATGCTAGGAGATTTATGCTATTGTGAAATGTAGCATTATGAACAAGATAACCATGGTCAAAGAAAACAAGAAACAAGCTGAGCTCATGGACAAAGTGTGAGTTCACTAAGATACCTACTGTTTTGGAGCCAGTCTGTGGGGTTAAGTCAGGATCACTTGTTTCATGTGTATAGAGTTCTGGATTAACAATCTGAAAGTAACAGGAAAAAAAGGTTAATATCAACATACATGCAGTTATTGCAGGTGCACATAAAAACTTGCAGCATAGTAATAAGCATATGTATGTGATCTCAAACAAATTTACAAGTTTAAATTGCACAAAGAATAGGAAACCCAACCATGTCCTCAGTTTCGCTGGTATTCTGAGAAATGAGTGCAAAATGGGAGTGACTAGTGATGAGAGTAAAGTGTGAGGGACGTCAGGAAGAAAGGACTCACGCATACCTCATGACCACAAATAACACCCGAGCATCTAAAGAGGTATTATGAGACAAAAAGGACATTAAGGGGAGAGAATGGGTATGTGCCCTTTCAGAATAGAGACCTGAAAAAGGAGTTGTTAAATAAATGTACCTCTTGTTTGTTATTCTGTGTACAGTTTTCAATGTCTGTCCTAGTCCTTTTGAGAGATTCAATCTCTTTGTTGTCCATTGGCTCCTCTGAAAATTGAAGGATCACATTATTGAATTCCATTTGTTGCACCATTTATCTTGGCATTAACTAAATAATAGATACAACAATTACTGACAGCAGTTCAAAACTTGATCCCTGGAACAGTGAAAATAATAGAAGTGCTTTCCCTCCACTTTTCTTTGTGCATTAAGGAACTAAATCAAAGCAGCTGCTTGCTTGCATTGTAGCTCTGTAACAGTTGTGTTTGTATGCTGCAATTTATGGCTAAGAGGCCTTAAACCTTGATTTTTTTCCTCCAAGACTTCCCTCTAAGGGCAGACTGTTTTAAAATTAAAAAGTTAACCATGGACATTTCTTGGAAATCTTAAGAAATTAATTAAGTCAAGAGAAAATAGAAACACTTTTGATCTCTAGAACATCTTATGTGACTGCAGCAGCTGGGACAATCTTATCTGAATAAACAAACAAATGCATTTTAAAAAGCTTACCCAATATGGCTGAAAGGTCTTGAGGGAATGTGTCTTTCAGCTCTAAACTTAACTCATCTTCTCTGAGGGTTGAATTGTGAGGTTGCAAGGCTTCTGAATCTGCAAAACTCAAGTCCAAGTCATCTAAAGAATGGCATATTATCATGGATTTGACAGTTGCTTGTTTGGTACCAGGTGAATGCCCACTTCTACATGTAAGAGCCCCACATGCTGTACAACAGGACATTGACCTTGAAGAATAAGTAGTTGTGGAGGCTAAAACCTTTGATTTCTTAGTTTTCTTCACATCCTTTTTTCTGTAAAAAAAAAAGTAAACAATCAAATGAAACAGATACCTTTTAGTAATGAGAACAATCAATTCATGAAAGATGCAAAAATTTGAAAAAGGTATGTATCAAACATTTAACAAACATTTATTTTCACAAGCACTGAGGTATAATTACCAACAATAGATAAATATGTACTAACTTAATTGCAATTAATTAAAAACTACATGTAGTACTTCCACAACACATTTTATATTACAAAATTATGATAGCCTGACAACTTGCAGCATCATAAGAAATTCAAAATTTTTTCATCTGCTAAGAATTGTGTATTTGTCATGGTTAAAGTGATCTACAACAGACCTCATCATTTCTCTTCTAATTAGTAGAGCCACCATCAGATGCAGACCATGATGTTATGTCACAATGTTAGAGTGCAAGTGCAGCAAAAGACTTCCAGGATTGCATGCAATCAGCAATTATTGAAAGTGACTTTGTATCATACTCAAATTACTCTTGTTCATAATTTAAAATTGCTTCAGTTGGTAAATACCTCTCTAATTCTGCTTTGTATATCTTGCAGTCTTTATTAACCGTGGAGCTTACTTTGCCAGCTGAAAAGCCCCCCAGAGGCAGCCTTCTGTCTGAAATAATATTAATTTAATATTAATATTAATTTTATAACATTTTGCAGTACATTGCTAATTACTAGTAATACTTCTCTCTTAGATTCCTCCTTATTCATTAGTTGCCCATTAGGGTTGAAGGTTGAATAGACTGTGTCAACTGTAATGGGTATATAAGGATGAATCCAAGACAAATTTAAGGTTGAAATTGATCTAGTCAGCCATCCAATGAGTAATGAGGTGTCTTTACTCAAAACATTGTATTATCTTGCTTTGTTATATTCAATCTATACTACAAGCCTAGACATTACCGGTAGCCAACTAGCCACAGACTAATAGAAATTCAGTTTGGCTCCTGGTTTTTTATTTCCACTGGCCAGTCTAGCTAGTAAACAAACTGAAATTGTTGTAACATCTAAGATGTTGAAAAATTGGTGTCCAGCCCTGTACCAGCTAAATTATTGGGAGTGATGACTTTCTCTTCAACTGGATCTTAGTAAGGAGGAAAGCAAGGAAGAATAATAGCAGTTTTGGTTCATTTTTTTCTTATACTAGTAGATAAGTCATATCTGTTCTTGAATTTTTCAATAAAAAAGCAAATTCAAGATTTTAAACCCTTTAACACCCAAGATCTGATAGTTAATTCTCCCCTCTTGCTGTTACATATCATGTCCTTGCATATTAGTTAAGAGAATTTAGTGTTTGGTCAAAATAACAACTTCCTGATAAGTTAAAGTATTCTCATTATCCAATAAAGGGGGTAAAGTTTCTAAAGAAACTGCGGTGCTGCATCAGTGGAGGTAACAAGGTAATTTGGTTACTCAAACAAGTTGAAATTGGAAATTGACCCCTGTAAAGAGTTAAAAAGCTGACATTTCGAGTGTTAGCCCTTTGTCAGAGTGAATGACGAAGGGCTAATGCTCAAAACGTCTGCCTTTTAACCCTTTACGCTGGCCAATTTACAATTTCAACTTAGATACAATGAAATATATGAAGTTCATATATTTTGTACTGCGGTATTAGATACATATGATACACGATCCTCACAGTAGATAGCGCTATCTGCTGCGAGGATCGTGTATTATATGAATTTCAACTTAGTTGATAAAACCAAATTGTCTTATTCTCATTATTTGTTTCCTGACTACTGTGTGGATATTAGAGGGAGAAGCAAGATGTTAATCACTTCTCAGAGTTCAAGGTTTAATAAAGTGGAATTTATTTTGATTTTCTTACTAGATTGCCTTGACTGTGGTCTGCATGGTGTTTGGCTTAAATTTTTTTCGAATGGTATATTGCTTATATTTCTGAGTGCCAGAGTAGACCCCTGTCTGGTTGCTGGTCGAGTGAGTGTTGTAGAGCCTTTAAAAAAAAAAAAACAAATTT